AACGCTCCAAATGGATCACCACGTCGTCCAGGTACGCAGCGGCATACTGTTGGTGTGGCCTTAACAGGACATCCATCATCCGTTGGAACGTGGCTGGGGCTCCATGTAGGCCGAACGGGAGGGTCCGGTACTGCCAGTGGCCACTAGGAGTAGAGAAAGCCGATTTAGGTTTTGCATTTTCAGAGTGGGGTACCTGCCAGTATCCCTTCGTGAGGTCAAGAGTGGAGATGTACCGGGCCCTTCCCAGGCGATCCAGGAGCTCGTCCACCCGAGGCATTGGGTACCCGTCAAACTCCGACACTTCGTTTAGGCGTCGGAAGTCATTGCAGAAGCGGAAGGTGCCGTCTGGTTTGGGAACCAGAACAATTGGGCTGGACCATGGGCTGCGCGATGGTTAAATCACCCCTAACTTCAACATCTGCTGGATTTCCGTCTCAATAGCCTGCCAACGAGCTTCCGGGATCCGATAGGGCCGTTGCTTAACAATGACCCCTGGGGGTGTCCGGATGTCATGCTGGAGCACCTGGGTCTGCCCGGGCGTTGTGGAGAACACATCGGAGAACTGACCGATCAGATGGTGTAGGTCGGTTTTCTGGGCTGCGGAGAGGTGGGGGTTAACCTTCACAACCACGGGCTCCGTGGTGGCAAGAGCGGCGAGTTGGTCCCTGGTCCCTATCCACTTCGTCAGCAGGTTTATATGATATAGTTGGTCCGGTTTTCGCCGGCCCAGTTGTCTCACCCGGTAGGTCACCGGGCCAATTTTTTCTAACACCGTGTACGGACCCTGCCAGGTTGCGAGGAACTTGCAGGCGGAGGTGGGGACCAGGACCATCACTCGATCCCCGGCTTGGAACTCCCGTGGCTGGGCTACCCGGTTATAATAGCGTTGTTGGGTTCGTTGAGACGCGGCGAGGTGCTCCCGGACTAACGGCATCACTCGCTCGATCCTGTCCCTCATCCCGATGACATGCTCGATGACGGATCGCTGGGGCGTGGGCTGCTGTTGTTCCCAAGCTTCCTTCGCCACATCGAGCAACCCCCGGGGCTGTCGGCCGAAAAGGAGCTCGAACGGGGTAAAGCCGGTGGACACCTGAGGGACCTCTCGTATCCCGAAGAGTACGTACGGCAGCATCAGATCCTAGTCCCGCTTGTCCTCTGCTACCACACGCCTCAACATCCGCTTCAGGGTCTGGTTGAACCGTTCGACGAGCCCATCCGTCTGGGCATGGTATACGGAGGTCCGTAACTGCTTTACCCGGAGCAGCTGGCAGAGGTCAGCCATTAGCCGGGACATGAACGGAGTACCCTGATCGGTCAGTATCTCAGCTGGGATGCCGACTCGGCTGCAGAGCAGGAACAGTTCGTGGGCGATGGCTTTTGCGGTGGTTTCCGGAGAGGAACTGCCTCTGGATACCGGGTGGCATAGTCGACAATCACCAGAATGTGCTCATGCCCCCGGGCAGATTTTGGCAACGGCCCTACTAGATCCATCCCGATGCGCTCGAAGGGCACCTCTATGATGGGCAGCGGTATTAGTGGGCTGGGGAGCACACCTGCGTCCAGCAATGCTTCAGCCGGTCATCCTCGCGCTGCGCGCGGCCGAACGAGCCCCCTCCTTTCACCTGCTGGAAAACATCATAGTACAGGTTAGCGTTCTGGTGCGGGGACTCACCATCTCTCCCACTGTCCGAGGCCAAGAGGACGGGGCGCCGGCGAGGCCCTTTCGCCGGACGCCGCGTTCGGTGGCTCCCCGGCGGGCTGGCAGTCTGCGCTGCGGCGGTCAACAGGCGGTCAAAACCTGGCCAGTCTCTTCCCAGGAGGACGGGCACGGGGAGGTCCTTTACCACCCCGACTTCAACCGGCCAGGCCCCCGGGGCGGCGGAGATCGTCACGCGGCGGGCCGGCACCTGTCGCGTGTCCCCCTGCACACACGTTATGTGTAAGACAGACTTCGTTTCGTTGCGGGGTGGAAGGAGGTGAGCTTGGATAAGGCTGACTGAGCTGCCCGAGTCCAGCAGCGCCCGACACGGCCGGCCGTTGACCTCGACCCTGACTTCCGGGGCTCCCGCCGGCAGGTCCCGATGTACTATGCACCCTGCCAGCCATGTTTGTGTGGGAGTGGAGGTGACTTCGGTAGGCATGGACTCGTCCCGCGGAGTGGGAGCCGCCGGCCTGCTTACTGGTCGGGAGGTGCCCTCCGGCGCGCGTTGCTCCTGGGCCACCCTCCGGGGAAAAGGCGGCACTCGCTCCCCAGACTCCCGCTGGTGTGCCGCCTCCGCCAGCTCTATTGCCTCCACGAGCTCCAGGGTTGTAGCGGGGTTCCGCATCCCCACGGCTTGGCGGTGGGTTCGTGGTAGAGTTCTGAGGAGTCGATCAATCACCACGCGTTCCACTACGTGGGTGGCCGTAGGACCCCCGTCCAACAGCCAGTGTTGCGCCAGACGAGACAACTCGGCAGCCTGGGCACGGGCGGGCAAGTGGGGTTGATAGACCCAGTCATGGAAGTATTGGACCGCGCATACCGGAGACAGCCCCAGCCGGGCCATAATTTCCCTCTTCACTTCCTCGTATTGCGTGGCCACCGGGGTCGGTAAACTGAAGAAGGCTCGCTGGGCTTCCCCAGTTAAGAGGGGTGCCAGCGCTCGTGCCCAGTCGTCGCGAGCCCAGCCCTCCGTCGTGGCGGTGTTCTCAAACATCTGCAGGTAGACTTCCACATCATCATGGGCGGTCATTTTGGGCAACAGCTGGGCCGCCTGTACTCGGGGATCTGGTCCCAGTACGCGCTGACGGGCGGCGGCACGGAGGATGGCAACCTCCTGCTCAGTTTCCCCCTGTCGAGTGGCGAGATGCTCGACTATTTGCTGCTGGCGGATGCTGACCTCCGCCAGCCGTTGGAGAATTTCATCCATGCTGTGGGGGAGGAGTAGCCGCCTGGGAGGGGAAACACAAGAGAGAGAATCAATGGACAGAGATCACTTGTCGGTGTATCCTCCACCACTTGCTCGCATTCTCCACCAGTGTAACGGGGTGGAAGGAACACGCGACAAGGATAGCTCAAATAAATACCCCGGAGGGAGGATTTATTCACAGAGAAAGTGCTCAAGTGAGTGCGCTGGGTCCTGAGGTGAGTCGAGGCTTCTCCGTGCGTGAGTCGGTGCTTCTCCGTGAGCGTGTGTTCCAGTGTCGGTGTGTCCGTGCGGCGCTCGTGCGTGGGCTGCTTGGTCACGGGCTGGTTTCTGGAATGTAAAGGAGACAACACGTTAGACTTCAGCTTCTGGGAGAGCATCTCTTCTCCCCTTCCTCGGGCCTCACGCGGCTTATCTGGCCGTGGGCTGAGGACTCTCAGCTGTGACCAATCAGCCCGTGATGAGCGTGTGCAGGTGTTCCTCGTCCGTTTCCTGGGCAACGCTGATGTGAGCTCGGGACGCTCGTCACAATATATATATATATATATATATATATATATTATTGCCAACTAAGTTTCAGTCCATAGTAGGTAGGACAGAGGCTTGTTTTGTTTCCACAAGCTTTGCAAAAAGGTCCAGAAAGCTCTGCTGAAATTCAGCCTGTTGGTGTCTCGTGTCTGCAGCTTCTGCCCGTTCTTCGGCCAGTTCTCTGAGATGGTCCTCACTGCAGAACACAAGATCCAGGGGGCGAGGTTGGATCCAGATCCAACTCCTCCCACCTTACATATACCTAAACCTACCCATCTCCACCCTCTGATCCCTAAACCCACCAATCTCCACCCCTAAACCTACCATCTCCACCCCGTAGATGTGGATCCAACCCCGCCCCCTGGATCTTTGTTCTGCAGTGAGGGGCTACTGAGTTCTCTCGCTCGGGCCACAGCCTCTCTCGACTTGTGCTCCGCCAGCATCTGTAAGAAAGGATCCATTGCAGTGTTGGCTTCCTTCCGCCTGGCCTCCTCCATCTCCCTCATTTCCTTCATTGCCAACATAACAAGTGTGTCTCCTCTTTTCCTCTTTCCTAGCATACAAACATAAATAAATCCACACATAAAATTCCAGTCTAACCCTAAACCTATAACCCTATTGTACTAATTGTACTATGTATAAGCAATTTAACTGCACAGTTTACAAATACATCTTTCTTCACAGAGTTAAACCATGTAATTAACCACGGTTTTACTACAAATAAAACCAAAAAAACCATGGTTACTATAGTTAAACCATAGTAAACAAAAATTAACCATTGTTTTGCTACACTACCCATAGTTTAACCATGGTATTTGTAGTAAAACTGTGGTTATACAAATGGTAATCAATACGCCAAAAAACCATGGTTACTACACTTTTACTATAATAAAATTATGGTTAATTTTAGTAAGGGTTTGCTTTGTACCAATGCTTAACTGGTTCATAACTAAATTTTATGTATTTATCATATTTCTAGCTTTATTTAATAGTTACTTGCCTTTTACAGATGTGTTAGTGTCACTGGCTTCCAAACGGATGCCTGCCGAATCTTTGCTTTCCACATTTCTATTGTATGCTGGTTTGTGGCCAAGGATTGCATCCATGGATGCATACCATTTTTCTGTCCATTGATCAGAACCATTTAGGTTGTTGTGCTCTTTAAAGGGGTCATTGGATGCTACACGCACTTTTACAAGTTGTTTGAACTGAAATGTGTGTTGGCAGTGTGTGTACACAACTACCCTATAATGATAAACCATTCTCTTCTCAAATACTTTTCTTGGAAAAACTCTATTGTGCTTTCTTTTTCTTTTTCTTTTTTTTACAACTACTACATTACTTAATAAACTGCATTGTATGTGATTTATGATTTAATTTAATAACCAAAAAAAAAAAAGCATCATTTGTATTTAATAGATTAATTTATTTTGAGAATTTATTATTTGAAGCTTCATCTTTCTTGAATATATGCTCATTTCCTCTTTATCAAATTGCTGTTCCTCTTATGTTTGGATGCTTCCACCCCTTTTCACATCTGTGAACCATATCTAGTACTCACTTTAACATATAGGTTGACTTATTCATCTTTCATATCTACATTTGACTGGTTATGATGGACCAGAACTTTTGCATCATATTATGCATCTTTTGTGGTAAGTTTGCTCTTTTTGTGCCTTCTTGTGTTGCAAGTCTTAAACCTTTTTGTACATTCTTGTAAGATTGTAATCAGTGGTAATAAGATGAACTTTGAATGCACTGCAATATTCATGCTGTTGTACACAGAGATAGATGAATGATTCAGTGTGTCGTTGTAGGAATACAATTTAAATTTCTTACAGTTTTAGTTTGACTGTAGAGTTACAGTTACTCAACATTCATTGTTAATCATAACATCTCATTTTAAATAACCTCACAAGTTAAAAACCTTGACCATCTTTTTAAAGTAATAGCATATGTAATAGCATGGTCAGTCCTATGATATGGATGAAAATGAAAAATGTCCTTTTAAGGCAAGAACATAATCGATTAAGTGTGAACTTCCTTTTATACGTTAAATGCCTCTGTCTAAATTAGTCTCATTTGAGATTTCTGCTTTCACTCATGCACACAAATATGCATCTCTGAGAAATGAACTGCAAAAAATAACTCATAGATGCACTTGACAGCTTTTCATATTTGAATCTATATATTAGAATGAAAAACAATTACACTTAAGAGGAAGATTTTGTTAGGCACAGTGTGCAGCAGAGTGCTTGTAACTTTTTCCGCTGTTACTATTTTCACAATCTAGCATGGCTTCAAGTTCTTCAGTATTTATTATTATTATTATTATTTTGGTTACAAGACATTTTTAATGTTACTTTATATTGTAATTGCTTCCATTGGGGCATCATAGTGATATGCTGAGCAGGTGTTTGATGTCTGTTAGCCTATTACAGCATGTATTTTAACATGACTGGATTGACCAATAAGCAAGTAGGAATGGAAAAATGCATTTTATACATTTTAATTATGTCAAAAATGCAGTCTCTAGTTATTACTGCGTTTTTTTTCTGTACACTTTAGTATCTCAGTCGGTGATGGCTTTTAACATTGATCCTTCTACATGGAAAACTTTCACTGCACCACAGTATGCATCCTTTGGCTATAAGATTATACAGAAAGACGCATCAAGGTGAGAGCAACACAACCACTGATAATGTTTGGAAAGCACACTATTGCCAGTACTCACCACACTGCCATCAGCCGCCCAATAAGACAGGAAGAGGCTGTAAATCCAACATAGTTCAACCACCACAGTTAGTTTTGTGTTTACATGCCCTTTAATGGTAAATCTGAAATAGATGCTACTACTAGATAATAGCTTTTGTGCGCCATTGTACATAATGAAGAATTATACTGGTTATCAAAATGTTTATTTAAACTTTGTGTGACTTCTGAATCATCATTGAATCATCGAATTGTATCTTTGACTGTAGCACCCCCTGTTGTCAAATATTGAACTTACTGACAAATATTGAAATTGAACTTACAGCATTGAGCTTACCCAATATGCAAACCTTGAAATTAATGATTTATATATGAATGACCTGTAAAATGCTTCTCTTCACAAAATGACAGCTTCTTAGACAAAGTTGCATTCATATGTGATATGATATAAAAGCATAACAGCTAAACCTTTAACAAAACATCAGTCAATCAAGCATTTTTTACTATTATGACAGAACTGGGCTGGCAGTGATGCTTGACATATTTGGTCATACGGGGTTTCAATAAAAAAAATAAAAACCTAACAATAGTACGCACAAAAATTTGATATGCTGTTAGGCTTGTGAATATTAAGTCGTCTGCGTTGATTCGAACTGATTGGCTAAAATTAACAACGCGGATAGACATTAGTTCCGCCCACTACCGAAAGAACCAACCACCTGTGGCTTCTATTTTTCAGGATGAATAATTTTGAGCGAACTCAGACATTTTTGACAGGGGGAAAAATAATATAATTTAACATTAAGCAGTCTTTCGAGTTGACGGTGCGTCAAATATGCTGCGCATCCATTGATAGTGAAACACTCAAACGATTAAGTATAATCGAAAGAAGTATAGGCGAGTAAGAATATATTCCCCGCTTCCACAGACAAGGCTTAAGCCTAGTCCCAGACTAAAATGCATGTCTGGGCTGTTTTACCTGAAAGAAACCATTGTTTTATCCCAAGATGTACACAAGTAGCCTGCCCCTGACGTGATACGTCAATGAGAGTGAGCAAGCATCACCTACTGGAGGCTGTGCATAGGCGGAGGGTGAACCAACTCCAGGGTAAGGCTAAAAGCAGCCAAATGTATTAAACATCATAAACCCGTCTTATTAGACAAGAACCAGACATGGGTGTCATGTAGGCTAAACAAATGTTTAATGGGACTGAATTTGTATTTAACGTGATTGCAGTTTAATAAAAATGTTAGAAATGGATAATTATATAACGTTTCCTTTCCACTGTTATTAAAACAGCAAATAAATTACATATAGAAAGTGACATTATCACTAGCATTGATCTATCGCGACTTTAAGCACTCTCAAAAAGACAAAACTATCGTTATAATCACTGAAGCTGTATACACTGTTAAATGAATCTCTTACTTACATTGTACGTACATCTGCGCTTTGTTGTTTATGATGAGAGAATTCGCAAGAGTCTGGAATTCAGTCAGCGAACGCGCGCGCACTCAACAAAACTGATGAGTTTGAATGATGACTCATCTGAACGCTTCTGATTGGCCATTGCATTCCTAAGCTCAACAGATATGTGTATGATTGGTTAAAATGCGCAACACTGTAAAAACGCCTAAAATGAAATACGGTGCAACATGAGCAAATTCACTTTGTTAGTCCCCGTGGCCACACAGCCTTACACACACTCCGCCTATTGCGTGCTTCTATAGCTGAAACTTGGCAGACACAAACATGCCACGGATGTAGATTACTGAGAAAGAACATCACCCATATTCCTTTTTTCTATTTTGCTTTTCACTGCACAACAGAACGCACGCCAAGAGAGACAGCTGACAATGTTAATTGTCCTCCATGTGTTTTTCTTCTCTAGTCACTTTTGATCTCGCTAGTCATTCCTACAATCAACAAGTGTGTTGTATCGCGGTCTAGATTATAAGGCTAAAAATCGGTCTTCATGTCTGTGGTCTCCCATGGTTTTAAAATCTGTTAAGATTTGAAAATCGTCTAGGGTGTCCCAGGCCATATGCTAATATGGGACAGTCTGTCAGCAGTCGTGGGCGGGTCCTGAGCAATGTGACGTCATATTGCTGTTTATGTTTTTTGGGGATTAAAAATAAAGTTGTGAATTGATTTTTATCATTGTAGGCTGGTTGTGTCCACACACTGCTAAGACACATTATATGCAAACACCATGTAAAAGTGAATTTTGCATCCGATGTCCCGTTTAAAGCAACTCTATGTGGTTTTGTGTATTTTTGCGACTTTAGAGCCCCCTACAGTTAAGTGAGTGGAATTCACTTAAGTGAGTCTTAATTACAGTGGATACTGTACACTGTAAAATTCAATAGTTTACCTTACTTAGATTTCTTCTTTCTCTTTTATCATCATAGTTCACTTTTTCTGATGTGGTGCTGGTGGGAATAGCAGGTCAGAGGGGTCGGTTTGGTTCTTCTTTGGCCAGTCCAGCAGATCTGAATAATGATGGTTACATGGATGTGCTGATTGGAGCTCCTTTAGAGGAGGACGGACAGGGCAGCATCTACATCTTCAATGGAGGAGTAAATCAAATAAATCCCACATATTCACAGGTGAAAAAGACTTGGTTGGTGGCAGTTTAAGGGCAAAGTAGCACCTTCCATGCATTAATTTTCCTTGGCTCACTTCAGGGGCTTAAAACATACACCCCCAAACCCCAACAGGACCTCGCCGCTATTTTGATAACTCCGCCCCACACGTACGTGCACAACCCTGGCAGCGACGATGGCAGAGTCTGCTATGCCTGCCGGCCGCAGCAAATTCAAGCAAAAACCAAGATAGAAAAGTTGTGTGAAAAAGCTAAATCAACGTAACTCACCTATCAAGAAGTAGCAAAGCAACCTTGGCGTCAGATTCCCTTCTGCTCCTTGAGTTCTCTCCACCGCTGGAAAGTTGCTCCAATATTTACGTGGGTCCTAGCCCTTGCCTGATCGTAACCCTTCATTTTAATGTTTTGTTCCTCCGAAATTTTCTTCTTTTTTATCTGCCAACTCTCGCTATCTATAGTCAATCTGCTAATATCCATCCTGTGCACTCACTGAGCGCTCTCTTCTCCCTATCATTACTAGACACGCCCCTTACTGCTGATTGGCTGCGAGTGTGTTTTGGGACTCGGTCCGACACAGTGGTCAAAAGCGTTTTCTAAAAATCGCTTAGTGCACCTTTAAGTTATTTTGTTTGTGTGCTGAAGAGATTTAAGTTGTAAACCTTAGGCCTTCTGTTTGATTGTTAAACAACACTTGCAGGCTGAGGAGACTGTTGAAGCTGTGTTTATTGAAAAACTGCACAAGTTAAAGATCCGCAACCTCTCATGCTGCCACAATACACACACACACACACACACACACACACACACACACACACACACACACACACACACACACACACACACACACACACACACACACACACACACACACAAAAA